AAGGGTCCGGAACCCAGGCCTTAGGATGAGCAGCAAAGACAACGTGGAGGGAACCATCACAAGTGAAACAAAGGTGAAATCCTTCCACCTGGACCAAAGTTTATTAAACTGTGATGTTTCGTTACTCATCCAAGTTAAATGAAGATTTTGGGCATAGGGTCAAAAGTCAACTTTCTTGGCTTTTTTTTTTGTTGAAAACTTTTCACTTCTCCTCCAAGAAGCTTCCTCCGTTCTGCCCACTAAAGCACCTTTGGGACAACCGTAGTCGGGGTGATGGAGAAGCTCCGTAGACGAGGCAGAGAGCCTCTCTCCCAGCGGGTGCTGCTCGCCTGCCGACATTTCGGGGGTTCCCTCTGTTGTGGGGCGACTACAAGCCGCCCCTTAGCTCCCCCAGAGCCAGACCTCACTCAGCTCTTCTCAGGTCTGCTAAAAATGGGATCCCCACCCTTAAGGCTCGCACCCCCACCCCAAAGAAGCTTCTGGCTTCAGCTTTAAGGGCAGAAGAAATGCTGAAACGCCTCCGTGTATCGTCCAGGTGTTTTTGAATGATCCCCGAAAGTCAAACGTCATAATAGTGCTGGAAGGGACCTTGGAGGTCTTCCAGTCCAGCCCCTGCTCAAGCAGGAGACCCCAGACCAAGGCTGTCAAACTGGATGTCTTCCAGGGCGCCAGATCAGGGATGTAGCTCTCCTCCGTGGGCCAGCGGAGGGAAGGACGGGACGGAGGCCTCCAGCAGCATCCTGCCAGCCAAAACGGGGCACGGGAGGGTGGGGGCTGCATGAGGCCTTGTTTTCAGTCTGGACAGCCTCCAGCAGCACTTTGCTGGACAAAACGGGGTGCGTGGGGACACAAGAGGCCCCCACCCAACCCATTTTGGCTGTCAGGGGCACATTGAGCCGGTCGTTTGCTATTTCCAGGCCAGTCCGCTGAATGGAATTGAATTGAATTTCCTTTATTTGTATGCNATTCTGGGAGTTGAAGTCCGGACATCTTCAAGTTGCCAAAGGTTGAGAAACACTGGATTAGACAGTTGTATTAACCTCTAAGCCACAAGCTCTCCTCCGTTATCAGCTGAGCCAGGGGAATGATTAAGTGCTTTTTCTTTCGTCGAAGAACCTGGTGTGCCCAAATACGGGAGGGAGCATACCGCTTCCCTTTTGCCTATCAGCCCCACTCCAGGCACCCATATTTGGGCACACCAGGTGCTTTGACAAAAGGAAAAACATTAGTGCATCGGTGCCAGAGAATTCTGGGAGTTCAAGTCCATCCATCTTAAAGCCGCCAAGGTTGGGAAACGCTGTACCGAAGCGTGAAGGTGGTGGTGGGGGTGTGGGGGAAGAACGCTTACGTGAACAAGGCCCCGGTTGGATGAAGATGGAGTCCAGAGCCAGTGTGACGTCTCCTGTGCTGACCTCTTTGCCTTTGAAAACAACCTGGATAGAGAGAGAGAGATCAGGGTTTGTTCCTGCCCTCTAAATAGGGCCTTTACATCCCCAAGAGTTAACAAGGATTGTTTTATGAAATTCAGATCAGAAAAGGATAAGGACGGCGTAAAGGACCAACCATGCGAGAGCTTAGGGTGGGCCAACTGTGAGATATAACCAAGATCGGTTGGACCACCAGAAGACCTTCAAAATCCCTTCCAATTCCGCGATATATTTGGGTTTCGAATGCTGCTTCTCGCCCTGCCTTCATGCTTCTATTTATGTTTCCCTCTTTTTAAGAGTAGTTTATGTTTGTTTTTATCTGCCTTGTTTGTTTTTTTTATTCTAGTCTGCCCAGAGCCAGCTATATTGAATTGCTAGATAAAACAAAATAAAATACTCGTATATAATAAAATAAAACATAAAATAATAAAATAAAATGTAAAATAAAANCCTAGTTTGGGCCATGAAACGTCTGCAAGAAAACAAGCCCCTCATTTCCATCTTGAGCTGCAAATATTTTCCTTTCTTGCTACACAATGTTGTGTTTTGTGCATTGCTGCAAATCGCACAAGACACTGACTACTGGAAGGATCCCAAAGGAGACAGGGCAGGTGGGATTAATCTTTTTCAGCAATTCCCTGCCCAAATCGCCATCTGGCATCCAGCACCTCCCCTTTATTTTTGTCCCCCAATTCAGTGGTGGGGTTCAATTGTTTTACTACCGGTTCCTGTGGGCGTGGCTATGGCTGAGTGGGCATGGCTTAGTGGGCGTGGCAGGGGAAGGTTATTGCAAAATCTCCATTTCCTCCCTATCAGCTGGGACTCGGGAGGTAGAGAATAGATGGGGGCGGGGCCAGCCAGAGGGGGTATTTGCCGGTTCTCCGAACTACTCAAAATTTCCGCTACTGGTTCTCTAGAACAGGTCAGAACCTGCTGAATGTCACCTCTGCCCCAATTCTAATGTGGTGGAAGTAATGAAATCCCCGTCTTGAGATCCCAGGCGTGTGCCCTTCTTCTTACCACCGTGGGGATAATCTCCAGGGGGCCCAGTGTCTTCGGTTGGGGTGTTTTGGTTTGTCCGCTTCCAGGTGTTATTCATAGACTCTCTCCAGCCACAGAATGGGTCCATGTTGTTGTTGAAATCACAGCTGGCGAAAATATCTGTGGGGCAGGGAAGGCGGCTAGGCAGAATCAGCTTCCCTTCACCCCTTGGCTATTCTTCAGCCCCACTCCCCACCACCACCACCACTTGTCCACAGGGTAAGGGCTAGGTTACCTTCACAGGGAGAAACTGCCACATTGTCCACTGCCAAGCCGGGATTCCCTGCATGGATGCCTTCAAAGACAAACTAGAAGTGGAAAAACCGTGAGTGACCACCAGCTGGAAAGGATGCCCGTGGATGCTTAAGGATGCCCACTCAACTGCTGGGTGTGGCATCGCAGGCAACAGTTATGTTAATTACCCTCTCTAAGATCGGACCGTCTGCGTAGAGTAGGGGGTGTCAAACTGGATTTCTTCGAGGGCCGGATCAGCATTGTAGTTCTCCTCCACGTGCTGGTGGTGGGGCGGGGAGGGTGGGGAGGCCAGACTAATGCCTCCTGTAGCACCCTACTGGCCAAAACAGGGCACGGGGGGCTGCCTGCGGCCCCCTCTGCCCTGTTTTCGGCCTAAACGGCCTCCTGCAACACTTTACCAGCCAAAACGGGGCACAGGAGGATGTATGGTTTCCCCCCCCTCCCATGCCTCATTTTCACCCTCCATGGCCTCCAGCAGCACTCTGAGGCCAAAAATGGGCCGTATAGAGGCTCTGCGAGACCCCCCCCCTGCAGCCCGTTTTTGGCTGGCAGAGTGCTGCAGGTGGCCGTGGAGGCTAAAAATGGGCCACGGGGAGATGGACATGCGGCCTGTTTTGGCTGGCAGAGCCTCCGCGCAGCCCATTTTTGGCCGGATCCAGCCCATAGTGTAAGCAGCTGTGTGGTTGGCAGGCTCCTTGTCAGCTGACTAAGACATGCTCGGCTAAAGAGGAGTTGAGATCACACAATGGTAAGGAGACATCTTGGATTCTATGGCCGGGGTCTCCAACTGTGGCAACTTAAAGCCACAAACCTGGTGGCTTTAAGAGGAGTGGACTTCCAATTCCCAGAATCCCCTGCATCCACTGATGCATTCCTTTTTGATACGTATACCCATTGTGGCCTGCTTACTCTCTCCTAATCCCTTCCTCCGCAATCTCTAAGGAGCCAAAAGGCCTGGGCGTTTCTGGGAGTTGAAGTCCACAACTCTTAAAGCCTCCAAGTTTGGAGTTTCCCATTCTAGAGCAAGCAGAGGGGGGCACTTTCGACAAATGAGACGTTCCAGACTGAAAGTCTGTGTGGTGGAATGTCGCCTGGATTCCTCGCAGGGAAGGGCTGCACTCCAAAGACGAAAGGGACAGCTCTGTTTGCGTGGAAGAAAGAGGGTGAAGACAGTTCCTTCCTATTAATTCCGAAAGGATACCTCTGAGGAGGAAAACAGTCTGCTACAGTTTGGCAAGATTCCGTCCGTAGGTGTCGGACCGTAAAGGAAAATATCTGGGTGCCATTTTTGGTTTTGGGAGACTGAGAATCTGTCCAGTGGATGCAGGTCGTCCTTAACTTAAAACCATTCATTCAGTGATTACTTGAAGTTACGACGGCACTGAAAAAAGGGTGGTGACTGTTTTTCACACTTACGGCCATTGCAACACCCCCCCCCCCCGTGGTCATGTGACCCCCCTTTTGCTTTCGCAAATTCAACGGGGAAGCCAGATTCACTTAACAACCGTGTTACTAACTTAACAACGGCAGTGATTCACTTAACAACCGTGTCAAG